GGCCCATTCTGCGCCCACTCGCTGGGAGAGACAAAACCAAGGGGCTGAATGAGCAAGCAAGGCAGCTGGGCAGGGGACCTTGTGCACAGCTTGGGCTCTGGGCCCACATTGGTCCCACAATGGCTGTGTGACCTTGAGCAACTTGTTCCCCATCTCTGGTCTCGTTTCCTCCTTTAGCAAATGAACAATCTGGACTGGACAAACCTTTGTCTCCAATTCTGCAGAGGCAACTCACAGATGAGATACAGGCTCACTCTGTGGCCTCCAACTCTTTCAGCCCCCAAATAAAAATTCCTTACCTTCGTGTGGCTGCCTCCATCGACAAATCCTTTTCATCCCCCATTGGTAATGCCATTTCATTAATAAGGAGACAAGTTCAAGCCAGGTGTTGGTGGCACATGCCTTTAATCCCAGCACTCGGGAGGCAGAGGCAGGCAGATCTCTGTGAGTTCGAGACCAGCCTGGTCTAAAAGAGCGAGTTCCAGGGCAGCCTCCAAAGCCACAGAGAAACCCTGTCTCGAAAAAAACCCAAAAAAAAAAAAAAAAAAAAAAAAAAAGAAAGAAAAAAGAAGAAGAAAAAGACAGATTCAAGGCCGGGCAGTGGTGACGCATGCCTTTAATCTCAGCACTTGGGAGGCAGAGGCAGGTAGATCTGTGAGTTCGAGACTAGCCTGATCTACAAAGCTAGTTCCAGGACAGCCAGGACTATAACAGAGAAATGCTGTCTTGAAAAACCAAAAAAAGAAAGGAAGGAAAGAAGGAAGAAAGGAAGGAAGGAAGGAAGGAAACATGTTCAAGCAGGCATGGTAACTCATACCTGTAATCCCAGATCATGAGAGCCTGAGACAGGAGGATTGCTGTGAGTTCAAGGCCCACTCTATCTCAAATAAGAAGGAAAGAGGAGGTGCTGGAAAGATGACTCAGAGGTTGAGAGTACCTACTGTCCTTGTAGAGGACTGCGATTCGGTTCCTAGCACTGATATGGTAGTTCACAATCATCTGTAACTCCAGTTCCTGGGAATCCCGTGCTCTCTCCTAACCTCTGAGGGCACAAGCATGCACAGACATACATGTAGGAAAAACTTATTTTTTCTTTTTTTAAAAGATTTATTTATAGCCGGGCGTTGGTGGTGCATGCCTTTAATCCCAGCACTGGGGAGGCAGAGGCAGGTGGATCTCTGTGAGTTCGAGGCCAGGCTGGACAGACAGCCTCCAAAACAGAGAAACCCTGTCTTGTAAAACCAAAAAAAAAAAAAAAAAAGATTTATTTATTATGTATACAATGTACACCTGCACACCAGAAGAGGGCACCAGATCTCATTCTAGATGGTTGTGAGCCACCATGTGGTTGCTGGGAATTGAACTCAGGACCTCTGGAAGAACATCTAGTACTCTTTTTTTTTTTTTTTTTTTTTTTGGTTTTTCGAGACAAGGTTTCTCTGTGGCTTTGGAGGCTGTCCTGGAACTCGCTCTGTAGACCAGGCTGGTCTCGAACTCACAGAGATCCGCCTGCCTCTGCCTCCCGAGTGCTGGGATTAAAGGCGTGCGCCACCAATGCCCGGCTAAACATCCAGTACTCTTAACCTCTGAGACATCTCTCCAGCCCCAGAAAAACTTATACACACAAAATAAATCTTTACAAAAAGGTTTTAAAGCAAAGGGGGAGGGAAACCAGGTTTATCCAGCCGGTGCTCAGCAGAGCTGAGATAGGATCTCAGAGGCCCTGATTCAGTCTACAGACTCAACAGTGTCCCTTATCTTCCAGCTGCTCCATGCCCTCACTGCTCACTCACAGGCATCCCCTAACCCCATCTCTTCACCCCCAACAGCACCACCTGGTCCTGCCCTGGGGAGTCAGGGTGCAAAGGTCAGACCAGCCTCCCACCAGCATTCCAGCTGCAGCTGGGAAAGCAGCCGTGGGCAGGGTCCAGAAAGCCAAAAAAAGTCACCTTCAAAATGGAGCTGCTGTGGGATCCTGGGCCGCCCTGAACCTCGGTTTTTTCATCCTGATGGCTTCCACAGATTGGACTAGATGAATTCCCAGCACTCTTTCATCTTGCAGCATTGCCTAGGGAATGGACACGGAAAACCAGGGTGTAGGGAGGTGGCCTGCATCCAGGCCTCCAGCCAACTGTAGGATGCCTGGTATCTGGGAACCCGGCTCCTGTATCGTCTGAGGCCAAAGTGGTATCTGCACCTCTGAGGCCCCCATATAAAGGAGGGGTTCAGTCCTTGTTTGTGGAGGGATGGATAGACAGATGAACAGCAGTATGAAGGGGAGAGGGAAAAGAGGCCTCCACGGAGTGCTTAGCAGGAAAAAGGAAGACAAAAAAAAAAAAGACAAGAGAACCACCCCCCTTGTTTATTTCGCCAGTTTTGTCCCTGACGCTGACTCTACCCAGCCCAGTCTATGGGGACCACAAATGTGGGACAGTTACAGGAGGGTGGAGCATCTGTGGGACCATCCTGGGAAGTGAGGAAGAGGACCCAGATGGTCTGTGATGGCAAAGAAAGGCCTGGAGTTATCGCACGCCTGTGACCCCAGCACTCGGGAAGTGAAGACAAGAGGATATGAGTTCAAGGTCATTCTTAGCTAGTTCAGGATCAGCCTGGGCAACACACCCTGTCTCAAAAACATAGGAAGGAAGGAAGGAAGGAAGGAAGGAAGGAAGGAAGGAAGGAAGGAAGGAAGGAAGGAAGGAAGAAGAGACAAAGGAATGGCTTGTAGAGAGGAAGGTGCCGGTACTGAGACCTGGTCTCCAGGAAATATCCCTAGCACTTCCTGCTGTAAGCATACACACATAATCATTTATCGTCCCCATCCTACAGATGGAGAAATCAATGCTCAATGGTAGGGACAGAGCCAGGCTTTTATACCCAGGCTGGGCTGGCCTGATTGCAAAGCCAGTGTTTTGTGTGCTAAGCCATGCTGCCTCCTGATGGAACGAATTGCTAATGGTGGCATTTTCCTCGTAGCAGACAGTGCTCTGGGAAGAGGTTCTGGACAGATGGTTCCCAATTGGGCCCCTGCCTCAGGCTAGCGGAGCAGAGTGTTGTTGGTGCAGGAAAAGCTCATCCCCCTCCGTTCTGCTGTGTGTGGGATGCAGGCAGATCCCCTCCGGACTCCTCACCATCCCCCGCCAGCCCTTTGGCCTTGCCTGGGTGACCTGCATGAGCTCAGCTTCCCAGCAGCCCTGCGGAGGAGTCAGCCAGGGCAGAGACTGCCTCTGCCCTCGCTGCTTGGCAGTGCCAAGGGAGGCGGGGCCGCAGAGGGGTGCAGCATCTCCCAGCCACCAGACCTCCTTCCTGTGCCCAACTCCGGCACCCCTGGGGTCTTCTGCAGAGGACCAAGCTGGGAAGAATGGTGCGGAGCTGAGCACTCTGGTCAGGCCAGTCCCCATTGCTGCAGCCTTGTTGAGTTGCCATTAACAAGTGGCCGGAGGTTGCCGTGTCTCCATGGAGACCAGACAGTCAGTGCGGCTCTGGGGTGAGGGCAGTGATTAGTGAGTGTCAGTTTTGCCAGCCCTGTCCTTCCCACTGCTGCTCAAGACAACAGGCCTGGGGGGTGGAAGGGGAGGACTGGGAGGGGGCTCAGAGCTTCACAGGCAGGGGGCATTCAGGCCCAGCCTCAGGTGCTGTGTCTTTGTCTCCCCCAGTGGCTCCTCAGTTCCCCCTCCTCTCGTCGCCCGCCTTCCCTCAGCAATCCATAATCCATCTTACACACAGCCACCAGGGTGAGGTTTCTAAAACACGAGCTGAATCCTGACACTCTCTTGCTTAAGAGCATTCCATGGCTCCTGACATGCTGGAGACTGAGTTCAGTGCCTTCCCCCCACCTCTTTCTTTAAAAAAAAAACCAGGGTCTCAGGAGTCCCAGAGTATCCCACAATGTCCTTGAACTGGATATGTATCTGGGGACGACACTGAGCTGATTCTCTTGCCTCCACCTCCCAAGTGCCTAGAGTCTACTCACTTTATTTATTTGTTTGTTATTTATTTATTTTGGTTTTTCGAGACAGGGTTTCTCTGTGGCTTTAGAGGCTGTCCTGGAACTAGCTCTTGTATACCAAGCTGGTCTCGAACTCACAGAGATCCACCTGCCTCTGTCTCCTGAGTGCTGGGATTAAAGGCGTGTGCCACCAAGGCCCAGAGTCTAGTCACTTTAGACTGGAGATGTGCACAAACACTCCTGGTTTATGTGGTGCCAGCGACTGAATTCAGGGCCTTATGCATGGCAGGCAAGCACTCTACTGAGCTACAAGTCCTGAGCAGTTTTTGAGCCTCCTGCTATGTATGGGTCAAGGAGCCTGCCAGGTGTACAAAGTCATGTGGCACGCAAGTTCTCTGCTTTTGTGGAGGAAGGCGACCTGCCAGTCTTGTCACCGGGATATGTTATAAATAAAATACAGGGCTGGAGAGATGGCTCAGTGATTAAGAGCACTAACTGCTTTTCCAGAGGACCCCATGTTCAATTCCCAGCACCTGCATGGCAGCTCACAACTGTCTGTAACTCCAGGATCCAACACCATCACGTAGACATACACATAGGCAAACCACCAATGCACATAAAAATAATTTACAAATAAAATACAAGTCAAGAGCCTTTCGCCAGGTTGATCTCCGTGAGTTTGAGGCCTGCCTGGTCTACAAAATAAGTTCCAGGACAGCACAGGGCTACGCAGAGAAACCCTGTCTCAAAACCTCCCCTGAGCCCTCCCAAAGGAAGAGCTTTTGGCAGGGTGGTGCAAGCCTATAATCTCAGCACTTGGGAAGCTGGGGCAGAAGGATTATGAATTCAAGACCAGTCTGGGTTACATAGTGAGATTTTTCCTGAAACAACAAAACAATGAGACAGCCTGTTTCAGGTGATCAACCTTAAAGAGGCAACTTTGTATTCGAGTGTATGCATATGTGTAGCCATGTATACACCTACATTCGTGGAGGCCAGAGCTCAGTCTTCCAGTGTCTTTCTCAATTACTCTCCACCTTATCATTTTTCCCCTTATGGGATGCTTCCAGAGAACCTGAGTGTCATCCTTGCCCAGAGGCCATGCTAATCTTTTCCTTATCATTCCAATTTTAGTGTGCTGCTGAAACTGACACCACCTTATTTTTTGACACAGGGTTTCTCACTGAGTCTGGAGTTTACCAGTTCAGTTAAACTCGCTGGCTGACCAGCAAGCCCCAGGGCTCCTCCTGTCTTCATTCCCCTGGGATTGTAGACTCATGTTGCTCCCTGTGTGGCAAGCATTTTATCAGCTGAGCCATGTCCCCACATCCCACTTTTCAATTATTTATCTATGTATACCTGTGTGAGTACATGTGCACCACATGTACAGAGGTGCCCGCAGAGGCCAGAAGAGGGCAGAGGGCATCAGAGCCCTTGTAGCTAGAGACAGAATAAGTTGTGAGCTGCCCAAAGTGTGTGCTGGGAACTGAACTGGGACCTTTGCAAGGTCAGTAAGTGTTCCTATCTGTTAATCTATTTAGACACATTCTCACCATGTAGCCCTGGCTGGCCCAGTACTGCCTGTGTAGAACAGGCTTGCCTCAAATATAGGCATCTGCCTTGCCTCAAGGCTTTTTTCTCTTTCCTTTTCTTTCCTTTCCTTTTCTTTTTTGAGATGGGGTATAGACCAGGCTGACCTTGACCTCAGAGATCCACCTGCCTCTGCCTCCTCAGTAATGGGATTAAAGGGGCATGACACCATGTTGTCTGGCTTGGCCCATTTTGTTTGTTTTTGTTTTAGACTTATTTATATTTTATTTGTCAGGTGTGTGTCTGTGTGTGTTTGTATGTATGTATATCACACCTGTGTGGGTGCCCAAGGAGAACAGAAAAAGGTATCAGATTCCCCTGGAACCGAAATTACATTCAGTTATGTGATGCCTGATATGGGTGCTGGGAACTGAACTCAAGTCTCCTCTGGAAGAACACAGGGCGGCTCTTAATCACTGGTATTGTGTATCCCATGTTGGCCTTTAACTGCATATGTAGCTGAGGCTGACCTTCCACTTCTCATCCTCCATCTCATGAGTGTTGGAATTATAGGTGTGCACCACTACACTCAGTTTAATGAGGAACCGGGGATCAAACCCAGGGCCTCATGCCTGCTAGGGAAGCATGCCACCCAGTGACTATATCCATAATGCCAGAGACATTTTTATAGAGTGACAGGTCCTGATATGGTTTCACCAGTGGGCAGACGGGAGCCTTCTAGAGAGCATATGCCAGGGCCACAGCCTCCCGCCCTGGCCTCCTCTGTTTCCTCTCCCTATTGCCAACCCCTCCTTTATGCTTCCTATCTTGGTTAAAGGCAGGGCTTATCCAAATGAGTCGGGGTGGGGACTGTGCGACAGGCCAAACCTCTGAGTCATTGTCCATCTTTCGTCGTCCGTCCCCCCCACTCCCCCCCCCCCATGCTCACCTCCCCTCAGCCCTTGTTCCTGTCCCATCAACCCCGTCTCTTCTCTTTTCAGTCACTGCTGGCCTCCTCATGTGCACTCCACAGTCATACTTGTCCCAACAGGCTCAAATTGCTCATTTCTTGAATCATAGATGGGGTACCCTGGGTGCCAGGCACTGAGCCACAGCAGGCCTGGTGGACAGGCCCTAGGTCCAAGTCCAGTCAGGAAGTCCGCAGGTCTGTAAGTGCACAGGGAGGAACTAACCTAGATGGGGGTGCCTAGCAGCATTCCAGGAGGACAAGCTGCTGGGACCTGAAGGGCGAGGAGTGAGCCAGGCAAAGGGAGGAGGAAGATGTTCCAGGCAGAGGAACAAGTACGCACTTGGGAAGGCAGGAAGTAAGAGAGGTCAGGGCTGAACTAGAGGTGGGGGGGCCCTCCCGCCGGGAGTATGCTCGGATCTCCTCCCCAGCATGACCTCCAGCCTCTCCCTTCCGGTTCAGTCTCCACACCACAGTTAGCACGGTCTCTCTAAAACAGCCAGAGTCCTGCTCTGCACCCACAGTCCCAGCTCTGGCAGCATGGTCCTTGAAGCACCCCAAGGGCTCCTCCAGCTGACTTGCTACTTGCTCCTCCCAGCCAGCCTCACCCAAGCAGGTTGTTTCCTTTGTCTCCTGGTATGCCCTCCCCCACTTACCCCTAAAGCTCCAACATGGATGCCCCTCCCCCAGGAAGCCTTCCACACATCCTAGTTCTCCTACCCAGTAAGTTTTCCTCTCTGCCTTCATACAATTGGAGTTACGAACGCAGAAGAGCAGACAGCTGATGCTCATTGGCTGCTTTGTGGGAGAGTTTATAGATGTGTGTTCTGGCCGGGCGTTGGGCGCGCACGCCTTTAATCCCAGCACTCGGGAGGCAGAGACAGACGGATCTTTGTGAGTTCGAGACCAGCTTGGTCTACAAGAGCTAGTTCCAGGACAGCTTCCAAAGCCACAGAAACCCCCCCCCAAAAAGATGTGTGTTCCATGGTGATGATCTTATCTAACTCATTCAGCTTGTGGGTCTGGAGCCCCTGAGTGCTGAGATTAAATGGGCGAGGCACCATGCCCAGCTTATTTCCTTTTTTTTAATTGTGTGTGTCTATGTGTGTCCGTTTGTGGGTATGTGCATCTGTGAGTGCAGATACCCATGAAGGCAGGGAGAGGGCATCAGATCGCCTGGAGCTGGAACTACAGGAAGGTTGTGAGCCTCCTGACATGGGTGCTGAGAACTGAACTCAGGTCCTCCACAAGAGCAGTGCAAGCCCTGTCATTTATTTCTCTTTTTTAATGTTTTATTTATTTATTTTTACTTTATGTGCACATTTGTCTGTGTCAGGGTGTCAGATTACCTGGAACTGGAGAGCTGCCACTTGGGTGCTGGGAATTGAACCTGGGTCCTTTGGAAGAGCAGTCAGTGCTCCTAACCACTGAGCCATTTCTCCAGGCCTGTCATTTACTTTTTTAAACAAAAGTTTTAGGTTTACTAATTTGTGTGTGTATGGGTGTTTGGCCTTCACGGTATGCGCACTACGTGTGTGCCTGGTGTCACAAGCTCAAAAAAGGGAGTTAGATCCCCTGTAACTGGAATTATGGATAATTGCGGGCCATCACGTGGGTACTGGGAATTGAACCTGGGTCTTCTGGAAGAGCAGTCTGAGCCATCTCTCCAGTCCTGATTTATTCTTTTGTTTTGTTTTTGTTTTTCGAGACAGGGTTTCTTTGGATAGCCTTGTCTGTCCTAGTACTTGCTCTGTAGACCAGGTTGGGCTTGAATTCACAGAGATCTGCCTGCCTCTGCCTCCCAGTTGCTGGGATTAAAGGTATGTGGGTCACCACCGACCCAGTTTTTTGTTTTGTTTGCTTGTTTTTAGAGACACAGTTTCTCTCTGTAACCCTGGCTCCAGATTTAGTCTTAATTAGTACCGCCCTTAAGTCCAGGCAATCAAGGACATGAGGCCTCAACACTTCAGAAGGTCACCCCAGTTCTCTTCCACTTGATCCCCTCCCCCACAGAATGAAGAATCAGACAGGCTAGGAGGGCATGCCCAGCAAGAGTCCACCCTCACTCCCTTCCAAAACAGCTCTGGTTTGACCAAGGATCCTAGAATCCTTGAGCCAGCTGACAGGGCGTGGGCATGCCGTTCCCTATTTCAAACCACACTGCCAGGCTAGATTCCTGGACCTGAGGGGTAGCCAAAGGCAGCTGTTCACCAGGAGTGAGTGCCGAGGAAAGCAATGGGCAGGGAGGTGGGGCCTAGAAGGGCCTCCAGTGGGTTCTTGAGAGGAACAGTTTGTCCCTCTGAGTAAAAGGGCCTCAGAAGGCAGGAACTACCGACGCCATTTCAGAGATAAAGGAACCTGTGCTGAGACTGCAGTGACTGGGTGTCTGCTAACTGAGCTGCCTCTGAGCCGGCTGTGCTTCCGTAGATCCCAGTGCCACACACCCAGCTCCCAATTTAACTCTCACAATGCCCCAGAAGTAATATTAGTATCCCACTTTTCAGGTGAGGAAACTGAGGCACAGTAAGGTTTGAGAGACTTGCCTGAGGTTGCACAGTTCATAAGTAACAGAATCAAGCCCTGGCAGTCACGCTTTTGACTCCAGCTCTGGTGCCCATTATCAGTATCTTAGACTTTCCCCTAATCTGGCTAGCAGCCGCTGGCCTCAGTCATCTGTGTGAGGAATGAGACACAGACATGTTCTGTGTGGCCTCTGTTTGGAATGCCAGAAAGAGTCTGTCATCCACATTGAAGGTGTCTTGATGGCCCCTATAGAAGGAGCTAAGGAGGGGCTGGGAACCTTTGTCCTGCAGTGCTAGGACAGTGAGACAGGGCTGTCCAGAGAGCGGCCCCTCCAGTCTGTAACTGTATCTGTGGCCTGAGAAGGTGGTGTCTCACACAGCTGAGGCCAGGCCCTCCCCCTTTCCCTCTGTGGCCCAGCTGTGGCTGTTGTCCAGGCTCCCACAGGCGAGCCCCACCTCTCCCATACCAGGCCAAGCTGCTGCTCTGTGGCCACCTGGACCCAATTTCCTTCTTCCTGCCTCCTCCCATCTCTGGGAGGCACCACTGGACTGACTGCCCTGCCAATTTCAAAAATCTTCTCCCCCAGGAAGCCATTTCTGCCTCCCCCACAACCACCCCTGGGGTCTTCTATACCCCCACTCAGAGCTCTCCAAAGCATCTCCCTCTAGCCCCCCCCCTCCCCGCACACTGAGAATCATTTGGACCATCAGTCCATTTTCCATTTGGTTGCTGGCTGAACACTGGGTCCCTGGCCAGACTGTGAGTTCCCTTCCCCTGGGCAGTATCACACCATGTGTTTCTCTCCCTCCCCTCTCCCAGTTGCCTGGCAGAGTTGAACCCAGAGCCAGAAAGCTGCCCTTCCCCAGGAACTAAACCTTAGTGCTTAGAGGTCTGAAGTCAGCTCAACCATTCTCCCACAATCCTTTTCCTACCAGGTGACTCTGGGAGGTCCAGGAAGGGATAGGGCCTGAGCCAAGATCACCCAGAGGTCGGCCCTGGACTCAAACTCTGTCTCCTGACTCTCAGGCCCAGGTTCTGACCCTGTACAAAGATCAAGTTTCCAAACCCCTCAGGGCCTCATTGTCAAGCAGGAAACAGGAATAACTCCCAGTGGAGTAGGGCCTGAACCCCAGGGG